GACCTACACTGCTAGACGTATTTTTTGATGCTGATTTCGAACCTGCATTCAAAATCTGCCAAACGATTCTCTGGACAAAGTTATGGAGGTGGTTTTTGCAACTTGCAGAACTTTTCCTTCCAAGTTGTAAAAAGCTTCTTATATTAGTTTTACCGCCTTCAGCTACTTCCTAGTTGCTGAAGGCGAGTCTGTTCCTACTTAAACTGTTTTCCACTGCTATCGATCAGTTTTTAAAAAAGGTGGGGGTTGCGGTCAGTTTTCAAAAAAAAAGTGTTGCCATGTAGCAAACCCGGAGAACGTCCGTTGCGCGCGTCCATCGAAAGTAGGTCACCCCGCCCACTCCGCGCCCGGCGCACCCCACTGTGGTCTCGAGATGACATTCCAGTACCACTAAACGCTGGTGGAGCGATTGATGTGCCCTAGTCCTTGTTATGTTCTCTTTAGGCTGACTGCCGTAGACAAAGCGCCAATATTATGCACCAATGACAACAGCGACATCTGTCAAAAATCGCGAGCTGACGCGTCGCACGACGGCTGCGGCGTGGCCTAGATTTGACGGACGTGCGCAACGAAGCGCACCCGGCAAACCCGGCAAAGTATGGTATATATGGATGGATGTAACACTAAAGAAGTAGTATTTCGGATCCTGTGATGTTGAACGAGCCCTTACAAGGAAGGAGCACAAGCTGATAGATAGTTTCCCTTCTCTATCTTTTCTCTACCTTGCGGAATCCCTTTCAGGAAGCTTCAATGTTGAGGGCGAAAAAGACCGCGTGATTGAGGACGAGGAGGCCGATCCACTGTGGGAACCGGATGATGAAGAGGAAACAACAAGCACATCTAGAGGGTCGTTGTTGTTTGGTAATATGAAAGTGTCCAAAGAGCAGGTGCAGGTTCTTCTTCCCAGCAAACTTGTTAGAGCGAGATAACAAACAAATCCAGGTGGAAAGCGCTATCAGAAAAGTGAAGTTTTTTATTTGTTCCGCTCATTGTGAAAGCTCTCGGCGACCATGGCTTTTGTGCTCTCCCCTGTTGAGCGCTCTTC